AGGCAGGGTGAGACAGGAACTGGTGCTCTTTTCAGTTTGAAGATTTTGTAGAGGTAAGAACTCTCTAGTGGTTGGCTGCTTTGCTTCTCTGATCTTTCAGCCTGAGCCCCAATATCTGTCTCTGGGTTTTTATTAGTCATGCTACATCTTAACATCCTTCAGGGCCAACTGGAATCTTCAGCTACGGCAGTGCTCCACGACTAGACCTGACCACTGCTAAGGATGAGATCTGTGCTCTCCTCTATAAAGGATGCTGCTCTGTTGAGGATGGGGTCTGTGTCCTATGTAAATGATGCCACTCTGTACCAACAAACCCTAGCTGATTTGAGACGGTGCCCAAAGACACGGGGAAAACAGGCAGAGAAGCAGACAAACCTGATCTCAAGAGCTGAGCCTGCTTTATTGGAACAGCGAGGGGCCCCAGCCTTTCTGATGGTTGAAGGTTGAGAGCATTTAGAGGAGCAGGAGGACATGTACTTACACATGCACACATGTGTAAGTGGCTACCAGGAAGTTACAGCTGTTTTCCTGAGGTTTGACTGGGAGCTGTCAAATATGATACCCTGAATATTATTTCTACAGTGGAGCAGAACGGTCAGATTAGGGCTAAGCCATTACTTACAGTTAGGAGCTATTGCCCAGTGCAGCCTGACTCAATTCCTCATGACCTAAGGCTATTGCTCAACAGAGACCTGACAAAAAAAAAAATCCAACCACAAACCTCCTATATATGGGCTTTCGGGTCCCTCCTTCGCTGGCTCCTCTCCTTTATCACTTCTTTGTTCCGTATCATCCCTGTACTTATGTTTTCACCCGAACAAAATGTTCCATGTAAGTTCTCTTAATGGGCCTCACCCTACACCAGCTCCATCTGATGCTGATTTATCTGCAAAAAGACCTTTTAGGTGCTATGGAGAAACTCTGGCTGCAAAGACCCATCACCCCTTTGACTCCAGATACAGTCCTTTCCATGAGTCCTCTGTTGTCTCCTGTTGTTCTGTGACTCCCTATTGCTTCTGCCAGCTCACTCTGGTGCAGCACTCCTGGCAGTGGGACGAGTCCCAGTCACCCTGTGCCCACTTCCTCTCACCAGCTTACCCACCTCCCCCTCCCCACCTCCCAGCAGCTTCCCCGCCCCCTCCCTCTACCGTCCTGGGCAATCTGTCGGTTTCAGTCTATAACCAAATCATCTGTTTTCAGCTCTCTACTGATCATTTCTCAGAAGTTTCCCCCAGAAGGCATGACGACAACCGTATGGCCCATCACAGTGGACCAAGTTAAAACTCTTCTCCTGCTAAGTGCGCAGAGAAACCCCTCTTTCGCAGACTCTGAGCTAGACGGTGCCTACAGATCCCCCACAAAACTCCAGCCCTATTCCTGGAACCCCTCTCCTCTCCAGTCCATTCCTTACTTCTTAAGAGTTAGAATATGTCGGAATAAACTTTGAACAAACTCGCCAGACCGTGACCAAGGAAGACCCTATGCTGAAACTCCAACTCCTTCCCCATTACTGTCGTTGCCAAACTCAGTTTTGGCACGCAACCTGATAGCCAGGACAAGGCAGCTTCTAGAGATATAACAACCTGGTCTGGACAAACAGCTCTGGGAGGGGGAAACTGCAGGCTTGCACGTAGCTCCGCTCATTGCATTCCCCAAACCTTCTATATGAACCCCACGTTCCCTGTCCCATTGTGTCTGTCCCTCCATGTTTGAGGTAAACATTCCTGTCTGCTGAGGTCAAACTGGTCTCTTTTCTGCCTCCTGACCCTTTAAACTGCCTCAGGGCTCTAACATCAGTATTGTTAGCATTAGGTCTGGGGTGCCAAGGAAATGACCTCACGACCCAAAAGCATTTCCACTGAAGTGAGCAAACACACCCAGTTGGGTCCTCCCTATGTTTTTGTTACTAATAAAGAGTCCAGTGCCTGATTGACAGGCCAGAGCAACCAGGTGGAGAAGCAGAAAGACGTTTCAAGCAGAATGCAGCCTTGAGTTCAAGCAGTGCTGACGCTGGAAGAATTGGAGTTTCTGACGACTGGTTTCTGTGTAATGTTTCTTAGAGGAGCTGTTGTCTCATGTAAGAAATAACAGCACATTTTGTTTACATTTCCCACAGTGTTACCCAATGTCAATGACATGGCCAGTCACAGGCCACCAGTCACGGAGTAACAAGCCACATGAATTATATGGAACCAAAATAAACAAAAGACAATAACAACCAAAACCTCACCAGGACTGATTGAGACAATGGAAAAGCTGGAGAGATTTGGGGCAGCAGCAGGTATTTTCTGCACGTTTATCTGGCGTATGTGCTGCTAGGTGACTCTACAGCAGCCATGCGGGAAGGTCTGCACCCAGCATGGATAATAGCTGGGCAGATGGAAACCCTCCCCACAGCCTTCCCCAGTGTACACTCCACTCTGGACCCTGAAGACATGCAGCTTGGGTAGAACTGCATACAAATGGCTGGGGGAGGGGCGGTGTTGGATACTCAGGTAAGGTCCTCAGGACCCTTCCCGGCCCCTCCTTCTGTGAGCGAGCCTCTAAAGTCATCAGGTCCACCTGGGATGATCTTTGTCAGGCAGATACAGCTGAACTCATGAAGATGGCCGCAGCTGGCTCAAAGGATGGGAGGATAGGAATTGATAATATGGTTCAGTGGGTATAGGTGCTTGCCACCAAGTCTGACAGCCTGGGTTCAATGCCCGGAAACCGTATGGTGGAAGGCGAGAGCTGACCTTAATACACACACACTTGAGACAGTGTTTTACTATGTTGCCCTAGTCCTCCTGGAACTCTCTATGTAGACTCACAGAGACTGCCTCTGCCCCCCCCCGCCCCCCCCCCCACACAAGTGCTGGGATTAAAGGAGTGGCCACCACACTGGTTTAAACACATGTTATTTGTGTGTGTATGCACACAAATGCACCACCATATGTGTCCAGAGCAGAGGACAACTTTCAGAAATGAATTCTCTCCTTCCATGTAGATCCCCGGAATTAAATTTAGGTTGTCAGGCTTGGTGGCAAGCACCTTTACTCACTGAGACTTCTCACTGGCCCAACAACTTATTTTTTTTAAAGATAAGATCTTGCATTAAATGCACCGACTAGCATGGCCAAATGGATAGTAAGTCCCGGGGTCCTCTGGTCTCCACCCCCAGTAGCGGGGTTATAAGCATGCACCATCATGCCCAGCTTTTGTCCCAGGGGCTGGGATCCAAACCCAGGTCTTCATGCTTGCATAGCAAGCGCTTTCCTGACTGATCCATTCCTACAGCGGCATCTCTTTCTTTGGTCTCACCTAGCGCCAGGGATTACTCCAGAGTGGGTGGTGTGGAGGCTCTCTGGTTTCTTCTCCCAGATGAGGAGGAGGAGCCGCCCACACTAACAGCTCTGTTTGAGCTCATTCCTTTGGTTCCTGTGAAAAGGTGACACGCCCTCCAACTTCTAAGGAACTGGCAGGAGCCAGCCCCAGAGGACAGGAGGGGATTTAGGGGCCAGGCAGAGCTCAAGACAACTGAGTGTGGGCTGAGCGAGCTGGGGACAGCCACTGTCAGCAGGCGGTCAGCAGGTGAGAAGGGTAGTCTGTCCCTCTGCCTCCTCCCCCAAGCAAGGAACACCCCTTCTCTTACCCTCTATAGCACTCCTCCCTGCCTGGCTCTCAGAGGGGCACTGGTGGCTCTGAGAATGTACTCCGTAATGGCAGTTAAGGGAACTTTGGAGGCTGAGGCTACAATCTCGGAATACACAGCTTTGGGTTCCCCGGAGAACAGGGATGAGGAAGATGCTCCATTCCACCTTCTCATCCCCTTTCAGAACTAGCCTTGCCTCCATCAGCCAGAATCCACACAGGATTTGGAGTCTGGATTAAGCACCCCTGGGATACCATGGGGCACTAGGGGCCACCGAGGGAAAGGTTCCTGTCTCTGTCAACACTGTGATGTGTGAGAGGACCTGCACTCTGACCCTTACAGCTGGGCTTGTAGGTTGAGCCACCGTCCCCTGGAGGTGCCAGGAAGGATCCTTGGTGATGAGCGGGGAGGTGACACTTACCAGGACACTGCAGAAGTTTTGGGATCAAGAGAGGAAGCAGAGTCGGGGGGGGGGGGGGCTCTCTGGGAGTGGAGAGATAGCTAAGGTGTCCTCCTGGGCAGGGGACACAGCCCAAGCCAGGAGTGAGGGTACAACACCAACTCACAGTTATCTCTGTCACTGTCTCCTATACCCCTCTCCGTCTCTGTCCCCGTCTCCTTGTCTGTGTCTCCCCATCTCTGACTCTATCTCTTTATCTCTCTGTCTCTTTCTCCATCTATCCTTTCCTATAGCCGCTCTTCCCTGGCAGCCCCTGTGCCCAGAACTTGGGCCTGGGTCCTCCTATCTGGAACATCCCCAGAGAGAGGTACTGCTCTGGGAACCCCTCCACTGAGAGCGCCAGGGACTTCCTTTTGCTAATCAGTCCCCAAGAAGACCCTGAAACCCATCACCAAAGCCCAGACTCTGGGAGGATGCTTCAGAGGAGTCACAGTCCTTCTGGACCATGGGGGTTCAGTGTCCTGCTCCAGATGGAGTGTGTAGGGAAGTCTCCTAATGCCTCACCCAGCACAGAATAGAGTACCCTGGCTCACAGCAGGCATCATCAGAGACCCCTGGGTGGGTGCCATCAGGGCTTTGGAGCCCTCACACTAGAACATGATGGGAAAGGGGGTCCTGCCGCCTGTGGCCCCTTTGCTTGAATGTGGTAGGCCTCTGCAAGGGATACCTCACACAGGAAGGGTTGCCCAGCCAGGATGAGGGCGAAGAATGATACCTCAGAGCACAGCAGATGCTGGGGAGGGGGCAAGAGCAAGCGCAGCTAGGCAGGGGGCCATGGCATCTCGAACTCCAGAAGCTAGGGACTCATGCTGTCTTGCCTTCCACACTCAGAGCACTGCAGCTGGGGCAGCGAGCACCACCACCCTTTGCAGGGGCCTCCCAGATCACCCACGGAAGCTAGCAGGGATGTTCTCCATATTCAACATCTGGGGCACGTTCATCAGTGTGCTCTTCTACCTCAGCCTCATCGTCAGCCTGGCGGGGCTGGCGGGCAATGCCCTGCTGCTCTGGCACCTCGGCCTGCACATCAAGAAGGGCCCCTTCAACGTCTACCTGCTGCACCTGGCTGCCGCTGACTTCCTCTTCCTCGCCTGCCAGGTGGGCTTCTCTATCGCTGAGATAGCCTTGGGCTATGAGGACGCACTCTACTTCCCGGTCGTCTTCCTATGGTTTGCGGTGGGGCTCTGGCTGCTGGCTGCCTTCACTGTGGACTGCTGCCTCAACTACATGTTCCCCTCTTACTGCAGCCCCAGCTGCCGCCCCAGGTACACTTCAGCCGTGCTCTGCCTCCTGATCTGGGCATTGACCATGCCGGCCGTGCTCCTGCCGGCCAATGCCTGTGGACTGCTGTACAAGGGGCTGAGCGTGTTCGTCTGCCTCAGATACCACTGGGTCAGCGTCGTGTGGCTAGGGGTGCTGGTGAGCATGGCCTGTGGGGCCAGCATGATTCTCTTGATCTGCGGGAACTGCTGCTCTTTGCAGCCACCCCCCAAGTTCTGCAAGGTGGCCCAGTGCCTCGGGATCCTGCTGTTCTTCTGTCGCCTGCCCATGGTTGTCTACTGGAGCCTGCGGCCGGTCATAGCATTCCTGCTCCCCTTCTTCTTGCCATTGGCCACCCTCCTAGCCTGCGTTGACAGCAGCGTAAAGCCTCTCTTGTACTACATGAAGGGCAGGCAGCTCAGGAAGAGGGAGCCACTGCGGGTTGTCCTAAACAGGGCTCTAGGGGAGGAGTCCCAGTCAAACCTTGGGGGTCTATCCCTGCCTATGAGACAAGCGTAGAGTGGCTATCCTATGCCCACTTGCCCTGCCCTCAGAGCTGCCAGGGTACCCCAGTCTTGCTCAAAACCCTTGCCATGTCCCAGCTCTAGTTCTACAGACTTCAGGGCTCCCTCTCATAAGCAGGGGAGAAGGGAAAGAGTCCTGATTGCATGTTGGACATTTAAAGGACATGGCAAGGAGGACAGAAAGAGATAGAGGGGCAGGTGCAGGAAGGAGGACCCCAGAGCTACAGTGAGGGCATGTGCCCTGCATCCTTCTGCCCCATGGTACCCAACCCAAGAAAACTGCCCCTCAGCCCCAGTGGGCCAGATGACAGGAGCTTTGCCTCCTCCTGCCATAGATGGGCCAGGTGACTGGAGGCTCAGCACCAGCTCCTAGGGAGCATTCGCTGATCCTGGGGACACTGGCCCTTCAGCTCTGGGCACAGAGGTCTTATGTTGGAGGCATCCACTACAGGACCTCTTCTAAACTGCTGTTTCTCCCTCCCTCATCCCAACGTTTGCTACAGAGCCTTCATAGACCCCAATTCACCAGCCTGGTGTTACCAATGAAGACCACGAGGTGGCACTGTTTTACCACTAAACAGACCCAATCTGTCCTGGCCCCAGGGCCACCCAAGATGCTGCATCCTGGCTATTTCTGCCTTTCTGGTACCCCAGAGCACCCCTGGCTCCTTCTACTGGCTATTTCTGCTCTCGGTGCCAGCAGGGCTCCCCTGGCTCCTCCCCAGATCCCATCCCCATCCCTCTGTTCCTCCAAGATTGTGCTCAGTCAAGCTGTTTCTGTAAACTCCACCTTGCCTGGCCAGCCAGCTTCACCTGCAGTTGGAGAAAAGAGGAAGAGTGCTGAGCTTCCAAAGTGCACATTGTTTTTCTATGTTTTATGATGTTTCTTTAAACATTTAAAAAAAAAAACTACTTTGATTGTCATTCATTCTTAAAGCATTCAAGCCCTGGGCTTGGAGAGATAGCTCAGCAGTTAAGAGCTCTGGCTGCTCCTCCAAAGGACCTAGGTTCAGTTCCCAAGACCCACAGGGTAGCTCACAACCATCTGTTCCAGGGGGGATCAGGTGAGTGACCTCTTACGGCCTCTCTAGGCACAGCATGCACACAGTGCACAGACGTAACACCCAGACACGTACAATAAAAACGGAAAGAAGGACTTTCAGACCTTCCCAAGAACACCAGGAAAACAGTCAGATGAAAACACAGGGTATGAGAAACAACATTCCACCCGTGTCCCTTTCTGACAGACACCCTCAGAAACCTCCTCCCTTTTGTGTGTGGATAGGGAGGGGCAGGTGTATAGATGCCCATGTGGGGGTGAGTGTAGATACACACACATGTGCACAGAGGCCACAAGCCAACCTCGGGCTGTTGTCCTCAGGAGCTGTTCGCATTTTTGAGACAAGAGTCTCTCGCTGGGCCCTGGGGCTTGCTGATTCCGCCGGGGTCGTGGCCAGCAAGTTCCTAGGACCCACCTGCCTCCGACTCTTCAGCAGTGGGATTCTGAGCATGCATCGCTGCGCCTGAGCTTTACATGGGGACCGGATTCAGGTCCTTAGGCTAACGTGGCGTGCACTTTACCAACTGTTTATTTTGATATTTTAATTAAAAGTAAAGATGTTCTTTCCGTCTATGTGGGACCCAGTACAGTGACCTGAAAGCTGCTAGATAAAGTCGTGCTTCCCCGTTTGAAAGATAATATGCTACTCATTCTGGGGACTCTGGAGTGGTATAGGGGGATCTTCTTTCTATGTGTTGCTTTCATTGGCTGAATAAAGAAAACTGCCTTGGCCTTTTGATAGGGCAGCCCTTAGGTAGGTGGGGTAGGCAGAACAGAATGCTGGGAGAAAGAAGGCAGGCAGATAGAGCCGCCATGGAGCCAGCTGCCAGGTCAGACATGCTGAATCTTTCCTGGTAAGCCATGACCTCATGGTGACATACAGATTATTAGAAATGGGTTGAATCAAGATGTGAGAGTTAGCCAATAAGAGGCTAGAGCTAATGGCCAGGCAATAATTTAATTAATACAGATTTCTGTGTGGTCATTTTCAGGGGTTAAGCTAGCCGGGCGGCAGGACACAGCCCGCTGCTCCTACTACTACACTGGAGAATATTTTTAAAATGGAAAGAAAACCCTGCTTGTAGTAACCCCAACCAAGAGGAACACCTCTGTAGGGTTTTAATCCTCCCCAGGATGCAACTGTCATGATTCGGTGTCCCTAGCCCTCCTTGAGACGAAGCCCTCCGGAGAACTGTGAGACCCTTAGATGAAAGGCCAGCATGGGCTCAGGAAGAGTGGGGCCCAGTGGAGGAGTCTGCTTTGGGGAGGCAGAGTAAGAAAGAGCGGCCTATTCTTCATGTTCTTCACACCAGACCCCAAGGAACAGAGTGGTCCTTTCCCAGAAGGTTTGAGATAAGGGTGAAATAAACCTGAAGTCACCTGCATCCTCCTTGCCCAAGGACACAGATGCGGTGCCCTGTAAGGCAGCCATCTGTGCGTCAGAGGCGACAGGCGAATATCACAGCAGCTGACAGTTCTGGGGCATATGATAAATGGCTTGGTCTAGACAGATGGCAGGGTGGGGTGGGGGAACATGGGACCTCTGCTCCCCAGGCCATTGCTGGCTATGAGGATGCAGTGAAGCCCAGAGGCAGCAGCCATGTCTACCCTAAAACTAGTGGGGCTCACAGAGTGTCAAGGCTGCCCTTGGGCTGGCTTAAGTTGGGGCAGATGCAGAACAGATCTGACTCCATCACAGGGTGGCGAGGCTCCTGCCTTCTGGCACCTCTATAGCTAGATGACCCCTAGGGGTCATCAGGCAGCTCAGAGTCAGGTCTGCAGACATTTTCCAGGACAGCTGAGCCAAGTGTTAGCAGCAGATAGCCTGCCCCAACCTTCAAGGGCAAAGACATCAGCTCTCATAGCAGACAGAGACCCCGTGCACCCTGCCCACCTGACCTCACACCTCTTCCTTGCTGCTGTGTCTGTCCCTGCTTAGAGTGTTGTCTATTGACTCTGTGGTGTTGTAGCTCCTGGCAGAAGAATCTGTTCTCGGCTCTTCTTACCTGTCCGGGTACCAAACATGCACACTGCCACAGAAAGCCTAATGTGGGGCTCCTTCCCCACAGCTAGTGTGTCGTCTGCCTGCTTGGTGCTACATCTCTCTCCAGCAGGTGTGCTCCTGAGGTCTCAGGACAGCAAGCAGCAGTCACTCTGTCCCTGGAGGGGAGGAGGAGCCAGGGCCCTTGGGTGTGGTGCTGGGGGTGCAGACCTGCCACAATGACTCCCATCCCAAGGACTTTCTTTCTCTATTACTCTCCATCTCATTCTTAATCCTGGAGCTCGCTGGTTTGGCTGAACTAGCTTTCCAGAGAGCTCCAGGGATCCTTCTGTGTCCACTCACCCAGTGCTGGGGTTACAGCGTCACCACACTCAACACACTCGTTCGACTTCTTCTGTGGGTGCTGAGGATCCGAACTCAGGTCCTTACGCTGTATAACAAGCACTCTCCTGACAGTATCATCTCCCAGCCCCCAGATTAACACTTCAACAACGGTGTTTCCTGACTATGAATGAGATCCAGCCCCCTGCCTCCCTGCAGCTCCTGCGCTTCTATAGGCTATCCTTTATGGATTATACAGGTGTCTTGGCTCATATCTTGCCGACTCTCCTTGACGGATTTGTGGTTTTTGCATGCTGTGTAAACACGATCTCTTCATTCTTGCTTTCCAGTTGTCAGTGCTGACTTGATTTGGATGTTGACCTAACACCATCCTTTCAATCTACTGCATTCACTAACATCTTCGAGGATCATTGTGAAAACTTCTGAGATTTGCAAATCACCACAGTCTCCATCTAGCGCAAATTCTAATTGGTCTAAATACTAAAAATCCAGAGTCAGATATTAGGGGGTGAAAGCTGAAAGATTAGAGAAGCAGAGCAGCCAGGCACTAGTTCTTACCTCTACGAAATTCTCAGACAGAATGGGGTATCCTATCTCTACAAGTCCTCAGTCTGAATGGGTGAGCTCCTGTCTCCTGCATTATATTCCTCTCTCCACCCAGCCATATCCCTTCCTGTCTCTACCTCCCCAGTGTCTGGATTAGAGGTGTGGGACTCCCAAGTACTGGGATTAAAGGTGTGCGCCACCACCACCCAGCTACACTGATCTTTTCCAAAATATGTTGTGTTATTTTTGATTATGTGTATGGGGCGGGGGTGCACACATAAGTACGCAGCTGCTCACAGAAGCCAGAATCCCTGGAGCTGCTGTGACTAGCAGCTAGGATCCCGATATGGGTACTGGGAACCAAACTCTGACCCTCTGTAAGACCAGTACACGCTCTCATCTGCCAAACCATCTCTCCAGCCCCTGCACTGAATTGTCTGCAGTGCTAAGAATCCAACCCAGGCCTTTGCTCACGCCTGGTGAGCACTCTACCAGCGAGCCCCACCCCAGCCCAAATGACACCGATTCATCTCCCAACACTGACCTCGAGTTTCTTGGGTAATCCTCACTCGATCATGATAGTTTATCCACCTGACAGATGCTCATGTTCTGGTAAGAATGCTTACATGTATGTACACAGGGAGGCTGGCACCCGTCCACTGTTGCGTGAACTGTTGTTCCTGGGGAGTCACGAAGAAAACATCTACTCGCTTCAGATGATGCATGGATAGACTAACAGTCTCACCAAGTCCAGCCTGGTGAACCAATGGCCTAGTGGGGTGCTGGGAGTGTGGGTGACCGCCACCTAAGCAGCTGCATCACTGAAAGTCCCATCACAGCATAGATGCTTCCTTCCCTGGAGAGACATAGATGTAGGTCCCCCTTCATGAACCTTCTACTCTGTATCCTGATGCCTGCTAGGACCGCACACAGCTGGGACAGAATTTCCTACAGCTAAGAGGGAAGAGCAGATAGGAGTGGCTGGAATCTCAGGGGAGGGTCTATGGCCATCCTACTCACCCTCCTACGGGAGCATCTACAGGCT